ATAATTAGTAGCTTTGCTGGCTTGGGAATATAACCGATTCATTTTATTGATTAAGTAACATAGAGAGCTAATAAATTAAATAATCAATAACCTAAATAATTAACAAACACATCGTATTATTAATTTATGATTAAATGATTCTGCACACAGCAAAGCTACTAATTATGGCTCTTAATCTTGTGAATCCCACAGGACTGTTGTTGAGTGACAGCTCTATCACTCTTCCCTCCCAACTGCCTGGGGGGGGGGAAGGTCCCGTCAGAGTCCCAGTGGCCTGGGGGGGCTGTGCCCTGCCACACCTGGCTCTGCAGGTCGCCAGCACTACAGTCCCCAGTCATCTGCACCCCTAATATCAGAATGTTGCCCCTGTGCTGACCTTTACCTGATTTTATACCTTATTCTCAATTTTTTTCCATTTCTGGGCCCTTTTTGCTACCCTTCTGTCTTCTTTTCTCCAGCCAAACAGCCTGCTCCTAATTACTTTTTCTCCATGGGTCCCAATTTTGTTTCATCCATATCCAAATTTGATGGGTTTGCTATTACTACCTGGGTAACTTCAGCTTTATATGGGATTCCTGGTGTGGTTACCTAGGAACGGGTGGCTTTGCTAGCATCCACCCATCCCTTTTCTCCCGAGCTCCACGTTAGTGCCCACCAGGGCGGCACAGCCCAGGCGTGGGAGAGAACAGCGAAATCATCCCTCTTCCCTTCTCCCCACAGATGTGTAGGAGAGGAGGAATCCCGCCTGCAACTTTGTGACGCTGCTGGAGGCCAGGGACAGGCAGGAACACTGTGGTCTGTGAGGTGAGCCTCCACAGCCCCCCCCAGTCCCCGACAGGACTGCACCTCCCATGGGGTGCTGTGGCATGTCACGCCGAGGGACTCTGCATGGGACAGGACAGTGCCTCGTGGGGCTCGTGGTCTGGGCCACAGGCACTAAGCCCACTGCCCCCTCGGCAGCCCTGCGGGTGGGCGGCAGTGCCCACCGGACACTCAAGGTGATGGGTGTCCGTGTGCTGCAGGTGGCGACGGTGGAGGGCAAGTACTGGAAGCACCCCATCCAGGCTGTCAGCCGGGAGTACCACAAGTGGAGGATGTACTTGTGCACGCAGGTAAGGACACACGTGGGCACGGGGGCACCTGACTCGCCTGCTGCCCCCCTCCAACCCCCAGCCACAGTCCCAATACGCCCCCACCCAGACTGACCGATGATGGCATGCACCAGCCAAGCCCCTGCCAGCCCAGAGACACCTTTTTCCCTGGCTCTTCAGTCCCGTTGGCTGTCACCACCCCCTCTCCCTCCTTCGTGTTATCCTGGGGTATGGGCAGCCCTGGTCAGGGAGGGGGCAAATGGCACTGCCCTCTCTGTGCCAGCTTTGCGATCAGCTGGATGGGCAGCAACTCGCGTCATGGCTCCTCTTTGATTTTCTCCAGGTGCGGAAGATGAAGGACAAACCAGCAGCATTGCCCTCTCGGGTACGAGCGCCATGTCTACACCTGTGCTCTCTGTCCGAAGGGTTCCCCTCTCCCAGCTTGGCCAGTCCCACTGGGAGTCCTAGCAGTGCTGGCTTCTAGATCTGGGCTCACCAGCATCTCTCACCCTTTCTGTGCCTGGCAAGGGGTGCCTGGTGCCCAGCAGGGTCTGGTGGCCGGTGGCAAGTTGGAGGGCAGCTGCCCCATGGAGCTTGACCCCCTACACGACCTGGAAAGGCTGATCTCGGACCTCTCTCTACAGCTGCAACCCCCATGGGGGGCCCAACCCATCTGCCCGTGGGGCACCACGGTGATGACCACGCTGCCCGACTGACCCCCTGCCACCCCGCAGCTCACCAGGGCAATGCGGATGTGATCCAGCCCGCCCTTGGCCAGCTGCGTCCCAACTTTGGTGAGGATTTCATGGATGCCCTGCACTCGCCCTGTGGTGAGTGGTGCTGGGGGCAGCCCGTGGCCCCTCTCCTCTCCCTTCAGCCTGCTGTGGGGCATCCCTTGCCCCTTCTTGTGTCCCCTCTCTGCCACACTTGCTGTGGGGTGCCAGCCTATAAGAGGAGCCACCAGGGGCCAAGGAGGTGCTGCCGCTTGCCCTCCCCCTGGAGCTGGAGCCCCCCGTGCCGCCAGGGGGGCAGCAGACCTTCCTGCCCCTCTTCCCCACCTCCCTGCTGTGGGTGAGCCCCCCTGCCTGCCCCCCAGGCCCTGCATCTCCCACCCCATCTCACCCTTGTGTTCTCCATCGTCACTGCCAAGACCCCAGCACCTTCACCGTGCCAGCCTTGGTGCCCCCACCCAAGGGGGCCACCCACCAACGGTCACTGCAGCTCATTGCCCCGACCCCATGTGCCACCCTCCCACCCGTGTCCCCTGCTGCTGCCATGCACGCTGCCCACCTCCTGCCAGGTTGGTGTCCATGGGGCATGGGGGGGGCACCCCCAGGGACGGGGACGTGCTGACAGCTGTGCCCCCAGGTCTGGCAGCACTGCTTGTCGTGCCTGCCAGGAACCACCCCCCCCGAGTGATTTCTCCTCCTGCCTGCCGGTGAAGGCAGGGCTCAGCACCCTGCCTGGGCACCATCCTGCCCACCCCATCTCTCCCATTCCAGGGCTGTGGCACCCCAGACCCCACACCGGGCGTTCTGCTGATGAAGAAGAGCTCCCATCCCCACTCCAGCTTGTTCCCCAGGGGCACCGGTACGTGGAGACAGGCATGGCCTGGGGCAGGGGTGGGGAGATGGGCCATGGTGGGCTCCCCATGGCACTCAGATCCTTCTTTCCCACCCCAGACACGGAGCCAGTGGCGTGCCTGGCCTACAAGCCTCCCCGTACAGCCAGTGATGCCCGGGCAGCGGTGGTCACCACTGATGGTCCCCTGCCTGCCTCCAGACCATCCGCCGGCCCCCCCCTGCCCACCGCTAACCGTGCCCACCACATGCAAGGCAGCTCCAGAGCAGAGGGGATCTGTGAGGTAGAGGGCATTGTGTGGGGGCACCATGGGGTGGCACAGACCCCTGGTACTCCCAGGGCTGGCATTAAACACTGTGTGACTGGACAACCTGCCTGGCTCTCTCAGGGCAGGGGGGGTACAGGCCCCTGCCCTCCCCCAGTACCCTATGGAGGGGCTTCACCCCCCCCCCCCCAGCTGCCCCCCAGACAGCACGCGGCAGCCCCCCTCCTTCACTCACACCAGCCTTTAATCCGCCCGGTGCCCCGGAGCTGTGGCACGGCTGCGGACAGGCCTGGGGGGGGGGGGGGTGCAGCGGGCACGTCGTGTGTGTCCCCCCAATTCTCCCTCCGGCGTGGGGTGCAGCAGCTCAGAGCCCGTACTCGTGCCAGAGGCTGTGGGGGGACAGTGCGGTGTCGGGGGGTTTTTTGCCCCCCCCCCCCCTGCTTCTCAGTGGCAGGAAGGATACCCCCATACCGGCAGGGTGGGGGGCACCGAGATGGGGTGCCCGGTGTCCCCCCCCCATCCCACACTCACCTGTAGATGACATCAGGGTTGTCCCAGTGTTCCAGGAGGGCATCACGCACGGGGCCCGGGGGGCTCAGCCCCAGCGCCTGCGCCCGCTCCCACCGCTGCAGGCGGGTGATACCTGCGGGGGGGGGGCAGGGGGGGCG